GTCCACCAATCGTCCCAGAACGCAATGACCCACTGGTGATTGTAGGATGGTCAGCAGGGTATTCGGTGTTAGCAGGCGACCTGCGCCCGACGGCATCCACAGGACGGGTTTGCCAGTCAAGCACAACACCCACGCGTCGCTCTGGAAAAAGGTAGGAGCAACAATGCTCAACCACACCTCGAATAGGGATAGTGCATCCTCCGTGTGGAGTTGATGCGACAAAATTGGTTCCTCGGTGTTATCCCCCGTACGTATTTTCAAACCCTCGCGTCGGCTCAACAGTTGGGTCATGCTGAGCTTTGTTTTGCCGAAGATTTGTTTGTGCGTGTCTGCGAACGACTGCGCTGTTTTCTCCGTAGATGCGGCACACCAGCGCTGCCAGGTGTGTAGGTGGATCAGCGACTCAACGTTGTTGGGTCCTCTGTCGCCATGGTATGCAATACGATGTTTGCTGAGAGGTGTTTCATTTGTAGCTGGGTCCAGACTTTGTCTCCCTGACCCTTGGAAATATACCCCGTGAGATCGTTGAGGGTGTCCGCTGCTGCGTCGCTAACGGTGCGATCTATATCCTCGACCTCTTCGTGGTGCAGCTGTTGAATGAACGTCTCAAGAATTTCGTGTAGGCGCTCAATTGACATTGTCTCAACGTCAAAGCATAGTGCATTTCCAACTTGTTGGTACGTCGTGATGCATTCCTTGCGGTCCTCCTCTGACAAGAATTGACGTTGAAAGGTGGGGACAAAAGTGACGATATCCTGCTTTTCCCTCCTCTGCACGACCCGAAAACCTCCGTTGTTGCGTTGGAGGACGTCAAAAAAGCTCGGTGTCGCGAAGTCCTCCAGGGTTTTCGGTGCTGTGCGCGTCCGCTCCTTGCGTTTGCCACGATGCTGGACCACCTGGTACGGTTGGTCCACCTTCGTGAATAAATGTGTGTCCTTGGAGTCGTCGATATCCATTTTCCCGATCTCACCGTCGTCCTCGCAGACATCAATGTGCTCATGAGGCTCAGGTGTGGACATATTCGTCGCTTCCGTGCCCGCAATGGAGCGCTGAAGCGACGAAGCAAAGACACAAGAAGTGTGGGCAACGTTCGGGTGTGTCCTCTCCGCTGCCGTACGACTCGAGTTCGGCTGACTTACAGTCGTGTCGTTTTTAAGCTTTTCGACGCGATTGATACTAGATCAACTCGACAAGGGGGTGCCGGTTGAGTCGCCGTATCGATGTCGGGGTGCTGTTCGTGTCTCGGGTACGTTTAACTTCGAGATCTAAGCAGTGTAGAGATACACCGTTTGCACCGTGGAAAGGCGTCCCTTTTGTGCCTATAAAAACGACCCGATGATGG